CAAAGAAACTGTGCATAAATGACAATGTGATCCAATGCTGTTGAGAATGTAGCATGGACTAGAAACTTCCTATAATACAACAAAAAAACAAACCGCAGCTACAATGGAAATATACAAACTCAGCTGCATGGAAATAAAAATGGGTGCTGTGACTATACAATGGGCACTAATAACAATACTGCAGTTGTTGGATCCCGAACAGTATTAGCTCAGCACCACTTTCAACCTTTACAGTGGAAAGCTGCTGGGCTGATGTAATATCTGCCCTCCCATGTTTTTACCCTAGGAAATATATACATTCAGCTTTGCTGCAATAACCGTACGTTCTCTGCAATCTCTAAAGTCATAAACTAAAGGCAGTGCTCCTGAGAGCCAGTAACCATGTGATCTAGGATGCTAAGGCAGCAGTTTTTATTCATGGGAAGCAGGAGGTGCTTTTTCACTTTAAATAATAATGTGATTTGTCAACCTTGAATGTTCCCTATTGATTCATGGTAGGTGTGAATTATAACAATAGATCCGACAATATATATCAATTATTTTCTTAGCATTTGAATAATGTATAATTTTTGGACTATGCATTTATTCATAACTCGAAGCTTTGCCTGATTTATCTACAGGAATAGGAAAACTCAAATTAAATATATTTATGCTCGTTCAAGATTTACTGATCTAGTTATCACAACTACTTTTCTTGTTTGCTATTTTCTTGCTGTAGGTAAAGAACGCAGCTAACAGAGTTTGACTGGTGATTGACTTGTAGTAGGCTCTCAATCCCAACTTCTGGCAAAACTTTTTTTTTGTTTACTTGAGGAATCTTTCGAATTGCTCCTGGCTTTATGTTGCTCTGTGTTGATAGATTTCTCACCATTTTCTGTCCCTGTAACCTCACGACAAAAAATTAGAGCAATGGATGCCACAGGCATAGGAAGACGCAGGAAGCAAAACCCTGATCAGGGTTCTAACCCTTCCCCATTCTACTAAAAGTAAAAATGCTTTGTTGCCTTCTCTACCTATTATGGAGATTTCTTGCTCCTGAACCCCCCACCTGCACAGTCATTGGGACAGGAGGTAATTGAAAGTCCATGTAACAACTACACAGCACAATAAAAACCTGGCAAAGGTCTTGCCCTCTTTATCCAAAACACAAAGATTTAGCTGGAGCTGGGATGTAATGCACAAGACATTGGACCGCACAACCCACCAGTTTTTCACACCAAAACAGAAGTAGAGCGGTTATTTTAAGTAAACGATACAGACTTCATAATGCCATTTAATGGCCACAACCCAATTGGTATTAAATAAATATTTGTTAAATAATAATTTTTACGTTTCGGAAACCATTAAGGTGCCCATACACTTTACAACCCTCGCAAGACTTTTGTCTTGCAAGGGTTGTAAAGTACTTAAAAAAACGTACGATCTGCCCATCTTGGACAGGCAGATCGTACTTGCGATCATTGCAAGCCCGCCCCCCTGAGGTACTGCAATGAGGGGCGGGCTTGCGAAGACTGCAAACGGGCAGTGTGCGCATGCGCACATCGGCCCGTTCGGCAGTTGTCGAACCAGCAGGCCACTAACTCGCCGAGAATCGTACGATTCCCGGCGGGTTTTCTAGCCTGCTGGTTCGACGGAAGACGTGCCACCGTACAGTAGAAACGGTCGCACGCCTTCCATACACTGCACGATTCTCGTATGATCGCGGGATTTCCCGCGATTCTCGTACGAGAATCGTGCAGTGTATGGGCACCTTTTAAAAAGCACAAACCCAAAGGCTTAGCCATGGAGCTCAAACTTCAAACCATTTAAACTGGTATCAAAATCCATCAACTATACTCGCTGATCCTGAAGATGACAGAGTGAATGAAGTGATGGGTAAATGTAAACCCCTTGAAGTTCATTCATTGGAGTGGTTTTCCCACCACAATTCTGAAGCCAATGACGGGTCAATAGTCTGGAGGCCTTTTCCTAAGCAACAGCTTGGCCGTTTGCAGATTCTTTCCAGCAACATACACTGCCCCTGCAAATAGAAAAGCAGGGAAATTAGAACCCATACACATCCAAGTACCTTAGAAATTCTAAAGGGGAACAAACTTAAGAAGTGATATAGCAAAAAAAAAATAGTACCACAGCTATTAAAACTGTGGTACTCTTATTCTGTCAAGTGAGGATTATGTCAAAGTGCACCCTTTATGGCTCTGCACATTTATATGACTGAGGCGTTAAATTGTATTTCCACTTTTGCAGTCAGATTTGAGAAAACCCATCTATGTTTACACGTTCCCATTCACACACCATACCTACATTTTATTTTTTTTAAATGTCTTGCCTTTTTAGATGTTTCTTTGGTGAAGCTTCTAGTTGCAAATTTCAAGCAGTTTGAAAGTAAAAGCAGAGGAACAAACTGACGGGCAGACTGAGCTTCATCTAATTAACATACAATGCCTCCAAGTCTTTAAACCTTTTTTAGGGCAGACAAGTCTAGTTTACAACTGATAATGACATCTGCCAGCACAGTTAGAGTAAACACAACTTCCCACAGCCCCCTTCTTAATATTACATGAAGGGAAGATGGGTAGAATTTTAAGCAAGTAAAAAAACACTTAAAAGCTTATAGGCAGCAATTTTTTGATTTAATATTTTTTTTTTAATGCTATGTGAATGGGAACATATAACAAATAAAAAGTAGGCGTTATCCTGATTTTGCTGCAAACGTGGAAATACGCTTTAAACGTCTCCAGCGTTCCAGTGCTTGCATTATACTTGATGTAAGGCTTGGATGCAGCTACTTGGCCATGGAAGCCCATTCCATGAAGCTCTCTACACACTGTTGTTGTGCCAATCTGAAGGCCACACGAAGTTTGGAGGTCTGTAGCTATTGACTCTGCAGACAGTTGGCGACTTCTGTGCTCTTCACCATGTGCTGACCCCACTCTGTCATTTTACATGGCCTACCACTTCATAGCTGAGTTGCTGTTCTTCCCAGTTGCTTCCACTTTGTTATAATACCACTAACAGATGACCGTGGAATTTTTTGTAGCAAGGAAATTTCACAGAACACCTTTTAAACCAATGATTTGGAGGGGTTCCCCAATACTTTTGGCAATATAGTGTATTTAAACTGTGAAGCCACCATGCTGCATTGAGCCACCTGCAAACTGAGGAACTTTAACTCTGAACTATCTAAACCTTTAACCATGGCGGTCCATATGCCTTTGAGACAGACTCTACATCTAAAAAGGTACAACAACACGCCAGAAGCCCAACATGGCTCAAGGCAACTGAAGACCCTCCGCATGTGCCTGCACCAAATATGACAAAGCACACCGAACAGCTCCTCAAAAGAAATGGGAAATAAAATGTAGCCTTCATCCATCAGGCACATAGTTTATACATGCAGGACTGCATTAGTGTTTCTATGTTACGTACCACTAGGTGTATCAAAATAATGCTAGGCTAGCATTTAAAGATATGAAAGCATTTCTTGTATTTTATAACATTATGTTCATGAACACTCACCCCCTAAGGAGCCGCTGGAATAAGCGGGTCATCACTAGTCTGTCTAGTGGATTTGATCTTCAGCTTCCCCCTTAGCATTCAACCGCCCTCTTCTAGTGCCCACAAAGCTGATGTCCACTCCAGTATATGCATTGCTAAATAACTTTTTTAACTTCTTTGTACTGGGGAGAGAGGGTATAGGGATCCTAGACATCCAGGGTGTAACAGACCTAGAGTCCAGACTCACCAGACTTGCATCTCAGTGTAGATCCATTTGTAGTACAGCAAATAGCAATTGGAGTAACAGATGAGCAGGAGATGAGTACAGATCCTCAGTAGGAGAGACACCAGCCAAGCTCCAGAGGTCCTCTATGTTCCAGGCACTTCCAGCAGACATCAGATTCTCTGGTTCTCCTTCTGTGGCAAACACAGGCCTCCTCTATGCTTGAGGCCCAGGGAAACTCTTCCCACACTCCAGCTTCTGCCCACCCACAGGCCTCAGGCCTAGCCTAGGGGGGTGGCTGGACAGCAGCAAGCCCTAACCCATGGCTGGTCCTGACTAGCCTCGAACTGAGCACATGGCAATTCCCTTTAGTATATGTACCCTATCCCAGAATGCACCACTGGTTGAGAGAAACCCAGTTATTGGCTACTGTCCTGTACATACACTAACAGTGCCTCTTCTTATTGGCTGTCCCACAATACAGCAGAGTCACACTCCACCCCAGGGGGTTACAGTCAATGCCAGACACCTGAATTTAACCAGGTAAATTCCACTATAATCCAACCAGGCTGACTGCAGCCCTGACAATCACTAAATGTCTAGTAGCCACCTCACAAAAGGTGATGGGGGTGGGAGGGTGGGCTACATGTATATAAGAACAACAATTATTAGAATGGAGTTAATGGGATATTACCTGAGAGGAAAGGGAGGAAATTGCTGGTCTCAGGAAAGTGTTCCTTGTACCAAATCTGATGGGCTCCCAGAACATAAGTCAGCCATGCAGTAACAATATTTTGGTAGATAGGACCAAAGTTTAACTTTTTGGTAAATATACACATTCTATGTTTGGAGAAAAAGCATGTTGGTATGCTTTTACTGCACCTTGGCTTGATCAGTATGCAATCCTTGAGAGACAAATGGTTCTAAGTTGATTGATGAAAGTCTGCAGGAGAATGGCGGTGTGCTGGTCTGCAATCTAAAACAAAAATATTCGGTTATGTGAACATAATTTAAAACCAGAAGAAAATTGACAACAGAATGGCTGTAACGGGAGAAATTTCAAATTTAAAAGTAACTCATCGGGTTTACCTCTAACATCCTGCTTCAGCTCATGCCACACAATTTCAGTATGGCAAAGTAGATTTTCACAAACTAGGCTTTAACAGTTTCCTATAGTTTGTATACTTTTTTCGGCTATGTGCATTAGAGTATCTAAAATGAGCATTGTATTAAACTAGAAAGAGTGTATGGACTTAAAATGATTTTTTTTCTCCATCAGGTCTGGATGATTGCCTGCAGCAGTATATAAAAAATTTTGAGAGGGAAAAGATTGCAGGGGATCAATTGCTACGCATTACTCATCAGGAACTGGAGGAGCTGGGAGTCACGCGCATTGGACATCAGGAGCTCATTCTTGAAGCTGTAGACTTACTATGTGCACTGGTAAGCATTTCGTTTTTATGGAAGAAAACCTAGTCAACTTTGTATCGTGGAAGTATCATTTGGGAAACCTTCCCATTCTTGATGACTTCTAGTAGAATTTTCACTTTTGCTGCATACTTTGAGGTGGTGTTAGTAAATCATGTTTTAGTGTTAAGGCAGAACTCCTGCCACACTTTTTCTGTCCAGTCTGCCTCTAGTGCTTGGTGGGAAAACTGGTGCTCTTTCATTTTCTTTCCTACCCTTCTCCACTGTGTGCCTCTAATTGTTTTTGACTTAATGTGTTCCTTATATCAATAATGTATGCTGTTGAACTCGTGTTACTACTACTACTACTACTACATTCTACTTGAACATGAGTATTGAAGAGTAGCTCAGATTAATGTCTTATGCAGTACCGGGTGATCTACACTGCAAACATCTTTAAAACACAGTGCTACTGGCTTATACTGTTTATTTTGGTAAAGCTGTGTGTATTCCCTTAGATAGGCATGTGGTCTACAAAATGTCAAGAGCTGTTGAAGTGGCCATTACTATAGTGATGTGCTAACTCCACCTGACTCCCACTACTAGATGCACGGCAGGATGAGAAAGACCAAGGAACGGCATAGGAGCCTCCTTTTTGTTTTTCTCCACTTTTATGGTAGAAAGACTCAGCTAAATGGAAAAGTAAAGTAGACACCCCTCCAAGCTTGTTCTCATGATATGCTATCATTTAAACATGAATTGGTAAACTAAACATGAGATTGTAGTCCATCACAGGAGTGAGCTTGGGGTGGTGGCTGCTTTACAACACACACCGGGACCATGGGGAACAAAAGTAGCCACCCTCCAGAAGGAAGTGTCAGCATGAATTCAGAAAAGATTTGAGGATTTACAGCCGAGTGACATACAAATAAGTTAAGTTTTTGCTAATAGTTAAGATACTGGCATTCATTTTTAAGATTTAACTCTTGAGTTTAGTGTCACTTTAACATTTAGCTGTGTTTTTCTACCATAAAAGTGGAGAGAAACAAAATGAGGCTCTTATACCCTCCCTTGGTCTTTCTCATCCTGAGGTGCTCTATCATGTTTAAGATTTATCTCCTAAATTTTATTGTGACACTTTAAAAAGGGCAGAAAGATGCATAGTGGGCAGAAAGAAAATGTAAAGAATGCTGCATAGTGAAGTTCTACAAAATGTTTGTAAACTAGTTGTCACAAAGGTTATCTGAAGAGTGCCAGTCCCAATCTTATTTAATTTTCCACTGCTCCGTATTCTAAAACAAAAGTAAACATGGGGGATGCGGCTACATTTATTTTACAGCAGTATTTTTTTTATTTTTTTTTTAGTATATAGGTGAATACTTTTCTGTTGGAAAACTATTTCAGGTCATTTTAAATATTCAATTATGAAATTTAAAAATGTTCTACTAACCAGGACAGGCACAGTAACTGCCCTTTAGTGCAATTTACAGTGATTTGTTCATTTTAACTTTATGTGGGGTTTTTTTTTAAACTGTTCTTTTTGCCTCCCCTACAGAATTATGGTTTGGAAACAGAAAATCTAAAAACTCTCTCCCACAAATTAAATGCCTCTGCCAAAAATCTGCAAAATTTTATTGCTGGGAGGAGGAGAAGCGGGCATTATGATGGCAAGAGTAGCAGAAAATTGCCAAATGACTTCCTAACATCGGTGGTAGATCTGATTGGATCGGCAAAAAGTCTTCTTGCCTGGTTGGATAGGTAAGATGTATTTCAGTTCGTTTTTATAGCCACACTTTGTTCGTGAAAATACTTTTTCACAAATTTTTAGTTAAAATAGCAAGTGCCCCTTTTTGAAATTTTTTTATTATATTGCTCCATATATCTGGTTAAATCCGTGTCAGTTTCACAAACCATTGTTTCTATACAGCATATGTCCTTAATAGAGTGTCTCATGTAGTATGTACAAGAGGATGAAGAGAATTAGGGAAGAAGAGAACAGAAAAGTTTTCTTGATACCTTGATATAAAAGGCAAGTTATGCTAGGTGTGCTGGGTAAATTTAGACATTTATCTAAAAGGTTGCCTTTGAAATTACTTCCACAGGGGGCCTTGTAAAAGTGTATACAGTATGACTTGTGCAGGCAGCCCTACGAGTGATATACTTAAACAGGAAATTGAAGGAATATTGTGCTGGCTGTGCCCTTAATGATACTGGTACAGCTCTTACAGGACATCAAGAGAATGGGGAAAAAAAATAAAGCTTTTTCAAATGTATCTTCAAAGGTACCGGATTTGGCATTAGCCGACATGTGTCTCTGCTTTGCTGTGACTCTCAGACACCCGATATTAAGGTATCGGGTGTCTGAAAAAGGTTAACCCTTTCAGTAATGGATCTCTAGATAGTTAGACATCTATTACTGAAAGGTAACCGCTGATTCTCAGCGGTTAGCAGCCTTCTAGTGCAGCAAATAACTCGTCACGTACAGTGTACGTGACGAGTCATTTGGTCCCTTTGTGGCTGGACGTACAGTGTACGTCTCCCGTCACGAAGGGGTTAAAGGAGCTAATTGTATTTAACCACTTGCTGCACACATATATGTGGCAGTTTATAGAACAGGCTCTCGATCATGTGATCAGTAGAGAGTCCAAGAAAGACCTCCGGCATTAAGATACTCTTGAAGGGCCAGCAGGAAGTGCATTTATTTTTTAATCAAAACATTGTCTTTGCTGATGCATTATAAACAAATTTGGGCTTATTTAATAGGGCAGTGCAAAGAGCTATGATACTCTGTTAATTTTAAGTTACTTGATTGTTGTACTTTGCCTTCCTAAATAAGCCTAATTTTTGTTTAAGTTTTGCCTTAAGTTTGCATTCAGGAGTGATCACTGATTAAGAACACAGGTAGACTAACACTAGATAAACTGACATGAGACCAAACAGATAAAGCCTAATTACTAATAAACTCATCTTTATGTTAACTAAATAGTGCAGTTATACTGGAGATTTTCTTTTATGTAACCTCAAATTAATAAACCATTCTCTCCAAATCGGAGTAAATTATTCTTATCAATTCTAGTTCTGGCTAAAGTTATCTGTATGTATGTTTTTGCATTAATCCTGGGCCATCATACAAAAAAACATAAGGCACAATTTCTGCAAAGCATTTTTATGTACACTGCAAGCATGCCATCTTGGGATATAACCCAATTCTATTAGACTCTAGTCAGTGGTTAGTTGTACCCAAAGCATGTCATCAGAGAACACCAATAATAACCATTCATCTTTGATGATATAAAGCCTTGTTACTGTAGCATAGAAAGACGCAATTTAAGTACAAGAAGACTTTCCCTGTTAGTAAAGCTATGACAAAGAAAATATATGCCAATTAATTAAACTGTTCAGTATCTCAAAATAACATATTAAATAGTAAATCCAAATAATTTTAGAGGATAACCATACTTTTAACTATAAAATATTTAATCTGAACTAATGTGCACTAAACATCAATGTTGCAGATGCTTGTGCATCGTTTGCAGTACTTCACCTTGTTTAGAAACCCTCCTCTGCACCAACCATAGCTGTGCACCGAGCCCTCAAGGAGTAGTGTGGCGCTGTCCCAGGTGCTGGAGATGCCTCCCGAGGTCTCATACAAGTCTATTTGGGCTCAGCTTGTAGATGTGGTCCACACAGAAGAGGTTTGTCTGCTAAAGAAAAAAAAAGCGATTGTGGAAGTTGTTGGTGCAAGTTAGTTAAGAATAGTGATGAGCCGAAGAGGCCTAAGTTCGGTTTGAATTCAAACTTTAGAACATCCAAAAAGTTTGAATTCTAACTCAATGCAAGTCAATGGGGGTAGAATTTTCAAAAACAATTGTTTCCTTTCCTGTGGTCAGATGCAAGGCTTTAGCCAATCAGGGCTCACAAGGCACAGTGGCTTGTGCGGGGTGCGCAGCTGGCGAACAGCCAGCCCGAACACCCTGACAGTTTGTGTGTTCGTCGAACAGCCAATTTTCAATTCAAGCTCACGTTCGGCTCGAACATCGAGCCCAACCCTAGTTAAGAGGGGCAGGACATGGATGGGCTGGAGGAGTTTATGGTATAAGTATTGAATTGGACTTGCCTGAGACTACTGAAGCAAGCAAAACCCAAAACATAATTACAAAATGCTGCAATACCAATGCATTATAAATCAGTCTTTGGTTTTTAAAGGATTAAGGCCTGGGCTTGACTTTCCTCAAACAGGGATGCAGTGTGAGACAAAATATTTCAGACTTCAAGCTGCATGATTGTTCTAGAAGTTGATTCAACGGGTTCAAGATGACAACCCTAGATTCTGCACTTTTATGTTTATACTCACAGATTTGAGAAACACAGGGAGCATATCACACGACATAGGCAGTAAAATTAAATTGGAAGGGGGGATGTCCCAGGGTTGCCTTGGTTATAAGGGATGCCACATTTGATTATTTTTCAGGCCGTTTAAAAAAAAATGACGTAGCAAGAGGCTGAAATGCAAAGACTTGTGCATGTGACATATATTCTATACCTTTTTAATCAAAGTGCTTCATTGCCTTTATAAAGAGAATGTGCCTTAAATTAAATTAGGGGAATTTGTTTTAAAATTAAAAATACAAAACTGCTTAATATATAAAGTACCGAAACCTAGACGTAAAAGCTAACAATAACCTGTTACTGCTGAGCCATTGTGACAGAGAGAAGCTCGCTCGTCCCTTCCTGTACATTCCTATTGGCTTATGAGGTGGTCCAGCAGGATTATGCAAGAGCAGTAGGTAGGGGGTGAAAGCTCCAACACTAACTGGTAGTGTTTAGCCATGAAAGCAAGGTATTTAGAGTGTGCTGCAGCCATTTGGAAATCTGCTAATCTCCTAAATAGTTGTCCAAAAAATTGGAGAGACAGAATGTGTCATTGTGAGTCCCCCACTATTGATTTTTTGACATTGAGTGGCCACACGCCATATGGAGCTGCTTCTATTTTTATTATGTGACCTAGAGACCTCCTAATTGGTCAGTCAGGCTTGGTAAAGGCCTTTTCATAGCCACACAGATTTGCCCCAATAATGAATGGAGACATTTTCCCATCATTTAACGTCTGACAGCAGCATGTTCACTCTGTGAAAGCTGTCTTTCACTATTGGGAATAATTGTTACCAAGCTTCTACATTGTTCATCTGTAGAACACAATGCTGAAACTATGGCATCGCCTGATTTTATGTGGCCATGTATAATCAATGCAAGATATGCCATGCGTGCAAATATTGGGATGGCTGGCCTAAACTCAGGTTCTTCTTTCGTCTTCCTTTTTTCTTGTTCATCCCCATTCTGACAACAGTGAATTGATGAAAGCCAAACTCTGGCTGATGTAAGCTTATCTTGCATCACTGCTTTTTTTATATCTTATTAAATAAGACCGGTATGTTTAGTTTGATTAGTAAAGCATATTAGAGAAGCTGAATGTATGATTTGCTGCTAAGCCTACAGGAAGTTCATTAGTGTTCATTAATTTACATATTTTGAAATTGTATTTAATTTAATTAGATAATGAGATTTATTTATGTAACAACAATTAAATTACATTTCATGTTTTTCTGCTTACATCAATGAACAGGATATTGCACTGTCATTTCATTTGCAATCTTGTGGAGCATGCAGGGGGGAAAAAAAAAATCCTAAAAAACATATTTTGTGCTTATTTATAAATGGTTGGAAAACGTTTTATTGTTGCAGTGTTAAAGTAACATAACATTCCTAATTTATAAGCAAAGTGATCTAATTTCTCTCCTTCACATTGGTGTGGTACTCCTTGCATCAAAAATTTATAAAAAATCTGCAGCTCCCTCAAATTTAGGAAAGTGTCCCTCTCACTAAAGCACACTCAATATTTGGCTACTATAAAGTGGGCTTATCATGATTTTAGAAATGTTTCACTTTCTGGTTGTAAGGCTAGGTAGGAATTGCCAAAATTGGGAAATTTCACTTTGCTAATTTTGGAAAAATTCACGGCATTTGATAAACAGTCACGTCAGTGATATACTGCAGCATTGTTTATCAGCAAAGCCATGTTGCACAGTGAAGGGGCCTCACTGCTAGGAATGCAAAAATAATGCCTGTTTTCAATGCATAATGAAATGCCTCTTGCTTCGGGTCAGTAAATCAAAAGAAAGGTAGCAAGTATGCAGTTAAGAACTTCAAACTTTGCTTCACGTTTCTTATATGCATACTTGTTCTGGGCCAGTAACCAAAAATATTTTAAGCCAGTGGGTCAACTGGCATTTTAAGAAAGAGGTCCGCAATCCATGCAGCATCCATGGTTTTTTTTCTCAAGACAGGTTTGCTTTAATGCTTAACCATCCCCAGTCCTAACATGTATTCTTACCCCTAAAGTGAGCCATTAAAGTATACCTTTAGCCAACACTCTTTTTCAGGTTTGGGCAAAAAGGAAAAGGCTGTGAGACGGGCAGCTTTTTATTGTTGCCTGCCTCACATATGGGGCAATTTTGTTGTCTCTATTTCTCTGGTAACCATTGTGACTGCAAATTATATGGGACACCCACAAATGTACATGTGTCACTAGAACAGAAGGTCAGGAAAACTCTTCCAATGGGATGCTTATTCTGAATTTTAAGTTTTAAGTCGCTTTTAAGAATCTTCCTCTTAGTTGCATTCTAGACAGTAAGTGAGGGTAAGTCTTCCCAATGGGACAAAGAGTGCTACTCTATTTAAAATAAAAATAACTAGTAATG